TCGGAAAGCTCTCGAGCATCCGGAGCAATCTCCAGGATCCAGCTGCCGGCCCGATGGCTGCCCCTGCTGTTCCCACTGCAATGTGCTCTCGGGGAGTGTCAGGGACGGCGAGATCCAGAGTACTTCCAATGCCTTCGATCTCATCGGCTCTATCCGCAAGCTGCTGCTCAGGAACAGATACATAGTTTCGACGAGACATTGAAAAAAGTCATTCGAATGCCAGGGCTCTCGTAAGAAATGCAGAATTCTTGGAGCGGCTCCCCACGGCGCATAAGACAAAAAAAATGGTGATGGACCTCAATTGGTTCCTCGATTCAAAGCGCTCCGTCTCGAGCGTTTATTTTTTTCCAGTCTGGATTTGATGAGAATCCTGACTGCGGGGTCGGATTCCGTCGAGACCAGAGAGGGACTCGTGGCGGAGAAGTTCCCGATGGAAAATCGAGAGGGAAGCTCGCGATGCGATGGCCGACATTCCTCTTGAGCGGAGGAGCCCGAGAACCGAAGGGAACCCACTCCGAGTCTGATGAGCTCATTAGGATAAAAAAAATTATGCAACCGTGATCGCGGCCCGGCAGCGATACTTCTCCGAAGGGAATACACAGCCAGTGGCGTACACAGGACTTTTCTTGAAGAGGGGGGCTATATAGGGTCTCCGAATGGGGCCGAAATCCAGTTTGGCGATTCGCTCCTGTACTACAGCATTACGAAGGGACCATCAGGCAGCGGGCTATATCCCCTTTAGCCCTCCTCCCCCAGCGTACGCCCCTGCACATAGCTGGATGTGGATTATAACATGGAACATCTCATCACTCTCAATTCCAGCGGGGAGAAACTTCAGCAACCCATTCGAGCGAATTTCCGTGTTTACTCGTCTCTCCGCATGAAAACCAGGATGAATGTGTCACGGCATGGTCGTTCTATGGGCTACTTGGTGAGTTTGAGCCAGGCTGTTCGCAGAGGAAAGCTACACGTGAACTCGGCGCGTGATAAGTTCTCATTCTTCTCGCCCCGAGGGACGGCGAGTCTGACTGAGAGCTCGTCGACGCGTAGCCATTTACGAGAACTACACATATGTGAGCCTGTCGGAGGGAGCAAGCGACCCATGTAGCGTAACAAAGTAGCAACGCTCACACCGGTCATGAGTCATGTCGCGCTCGACGTGATTGAAGATCTTGCCCGGAATCTAATGCTCGGATTTCGGAAGGGCAGCTCCCGCTCCACCTTATTCTCCCAATTACCTATGTATGGGGTTTCTCAACAGTCGATCTAAAAAAACGTTCGCCTTCCGTCTCAGAATTAGGGACAAAGGAACAAGTCTTGGCTTGTTGTAGCCCATTCGGACTCGCGTTGCGACAGCGTATCGCAGGCTCGGATGTCTGGCCATCTACGAACTTCCCACTTCCCAAAGCTGCGACCGAGAGTAGTCAGTCAATGTAGCTTGCCGTTTGCGATCACGGACGCGCGCTGCGCCGTCGGGTCACTTACGGCTCACTACGCCAGATCGTGATGGGCTTAAAGCGGGGAACTTCTACTTCCCCCTACCGTAGCCGGCGAGCAGGTAGCAAGCCCCGATACGCTAGCACGCAGGTAGAGAGAATCGCGAAACAGCTCGGTCGTGTCGAGGAGGAATTTCCTCAAATTCTCTAGGCTCGCTCAGAACGGGGGAAACTTCTCGAGGAAACAAAGGAATCACGCGGGGGCTCTATCGAATGTTCGGCATCCGATGATGCGAGCGGAGTGCAATCGCCACGGACCAACGCACAGCATTCATCCTCATCGTCTGGGCAGGGACCGATTCCCTTATCAGTCGGGACATCCTGTGACCAAGCGCCATCCGGCGAAGTATGCGGCTCACAGACCCCGCTTTATACTTCTCCGCTCATGATCATCCATCCATTGATCCCCCGATCGATCGATCTCATTGACAACAATCCAATCATAGGAGTTTTCCTCGCGTGCATTTTCCGGCGGTGGCGGCGGAAACGGTAAGACCTGATCGAAGCTTGCCGATACAGCACTGGAATTAGTTCCACGTCAGGCTGTTACCAAATTACGATCAGATGTTCGCCCCGAACATTTGCTTCGAGTGGGGACCAACCATGACGGGCTGTCACTCGATCCACCGTCCGATCAGGTTACCGCAGTACACTGCAACCAGCGGAAGTAGGTACTCCTGCCAAGCGGACTCGCGAGAATCAAGGATTTCTCATTCCGCCGATCAGATGCGGAGCACGTTCCGGAATTCGTAGTTCCTTCTACTGGTATGAATTCCGGCTGAAGGTTGTTTGTTGCTTTCCGTTCCGTTCTGAGGGAAAATTCAGGAGGACAAGAGAGAAGAGAGCAAGATGATTCTACTCGATCCCAGGCTTCCTTTCGGAAGGAAGAGTTCTTCGATCTGTTTCCTCAGAGAGTCTTCCCTGCTCTCTCGGGGGAACGGAACGAAGAACAGATCTACAGATTATGCAACTGTAGAAACCCAGTCTCGTTCGTCCGTTTGAGAATGCTCCCCCGTCAAGCGAGAGAGAGGGGAGGCGCCATGTCATGGCAGACATGGATCTCGTTCGAATCCGGCGGGCAAGGTTCGCCGGCTCTGCTTTGAGCTCGGGATGCTGCTGTCGGGCTTGGGGAGCTGGTTTGGCACTTGAGGTAAGAAAACCTCGGAGCGCGAACTGATCGACCGCCACCTCTGCTCCTCTTGCCTCCTCAGTCCGACCGACACATCCGGATGATCTCGCTATCGAACGAGCGACGACCTCCAGAGACAAAGCCCACATCGAGACACAGCACAGGTAGCCGGAATGGAGAAATGCATCGTGTTCGTAAAGGATCGGCGCCAGAGGTATCGCTTTTCGGGAACTCTGCTCCTTGCTGGAACTGTCTGGAGTTCAATAACCTCGGAATAGGAGACTTGATTCGGTGGGATACGAAACGAGTTCGATGATCGGGAAATCGAGTCAACCGATACAGCGGGTAATCTGATATCCCTCCGATTCTGAAGTGCGGGAAGAAGAAAATTTTTCGACGGCTCATAATGGGAATACCTGATGTAGAACTTTGAACGGGTTGAACTCGGTTCTTGCGCCAATTTTCGATTTCACCTGACAACTCCTAATCGAGAACTGCGCCCAACGTAATTCGAAGGAGGCTTCAGCTCGAGAAGCTAGCGGGAATTGGAAGCTCCTTCAGCATATACTCGATGGATTCTCGATTCCTTCAGCGACCAGAATCTGAGGGAAGCTCCATCTTCGCGAAAATCTCCCGACGGGGTATTGGACGATTGACGGCGATAGAACCGGAAGAGCCGGAGCTCTAGACTCCGAGGTCAAGCTCGGTGCTGCAAATTACGCCATCCCTTGCGGAGCGCCCGTCAAACTGAATGATCAGCGCCGTCCCTCGTCTCACTCCCTCGACCTGCTTCGAGCTAGAAGCTCCTGGAGAGCCTACGCGCACTCGGCGGAGAGAAGACGCGTTCAAAACAAGCGACTGCGCAATGCTCGCTCAGGTTACCCAATTTATCCAAAAGTCCGTACTAGCATGAAAATGTTCGGTGAGCTCAGCGAAACGCTAGCAAGAGCATCTCCCGACCTTCACCTGTCGAAATTCCTCTTCCTGAGCACGGCACGTGCGAGTTTGATCCGTATGGAGCAACCCTGTCATGAATCAAGCAATGTCTACCGAAGCATTCCATGTCGGACCGAGTCTGCATACCAGTCACAGGCCCGAAGTCGTTCCCGTACCTGCTCCGTCTTCGAAAAAGTTCACTTCCGGCGCAGCGAGGATTCGGAATGCCACCCCATGTCCTCCTTAAATCCGGTCACTGGCTTGATTTCGATATTTCGCAAGTTGGGATGACTTCGAAGCGTGATGGAAAATGACTAATCGGGGCAGCAAGTTTCTCCTCCGACCGATTCGTTTTACGGGAATCGGATGGAAAGGAGGGAAGACCTCGACCTCGCAGAACAACGAGCCACGTATTTTCTCACGGCCGTCGAGAACAAAATAAGCGGCCAAATGAGTCAGTCAGCAGTCAGGCTCTCTAAAGGCGGAGAGGAAGATGTTGCACCGACGCGATTTGCGCCGAGTCGGTTCCCCCAAGCAAAAGCCAGCCGACGCGAAGCAGCAATTTTAGCTCAAACTGAGCTCACAGCTGCGCCTAATTCAAGTTTCTCGCCAGACGGAGAACGAGCGAGACTTTGTGATAAAGAGATTCTCAAGTGTTCGCTGGCGGAACTCATTCGGTCAGCTGGCTGGTGGGCGACCCAGCTTGGGTCAAACAACGCCGCGACAAGTGGTCGAAGAGCGGACGAGCCTGAGAATCCCATCACCTACCAAGCCAAATTGAGTTCTCCGGCTTTCAGCGGCGTGGGTCTCGGCTCCGGAATTCGCAAACAGTTCAGACTCAGCAGACTTGAGGGCGACAGGACTCGCCGAGGCAAATTGTACCTTTTCACTTTGGATATTCCCAGTACCTAAACGTCAGCGTCGCGTCGCTGCGACCGAATCCGCTGAGTGTCGCCGAATGTTACCCGATTTCCCCCGGGTCGGCGGAATGGGGTCACAACAAGGTTCTTCCTGTTCAAAGCGTGGACAAACACCGAATCGACTCTGATTCAATGAATCGCAGTCGCAGTGGTAGGAATCTGATGAGAGCCGCCTGGTTGGGAGACTGCCGGGCTCGGGGCAATGCCTCAGTCCGGGATTCAATGAGCACCAAATCGTTGATGAAAGCTGGATTATGATTTCAAATTAATTGCCCGGACCGAACATCGATCGGACAGAATCCAACGATTACTTCAAAATCCCAGCGGAGGGGGTAAACAAAGCCGCATATTCAACGGTCGCGGATCAAAGAGAAACAATTCTTATTGCTATAAAACCATCGATTCGAGCTCCTTCGTAGATCGGGTTGAGGAGAGGGCTGCTTCTGGAGAACAGGGTAATTGACATTGGATTACCTGTAAGCAATCTTCCGATCCGTGAAGACCTTCATTCGATTGAGCTCAAACGACTACGCGTAGAGCCTGGTTGACTGCAAACAATGCTAATCCGGCAATTGTGAACCCGAGAAACTTGTATTGCGTAACTGTTGACTTGATTTCGTAAAGAATGCGTTGCGTTCTTCGTAAGCTCTGCTTATAGTCACCGTGACTCTTAGTGACAATTTGTTTCAGGCCGAAAATTTCTTCGTCCGAATCCAAGCTCTCCAGGAGGAAGTCCGAAGACTTTGCGAGCTTCGCTCGTAACTCAGTGAGCGCGGATTCTCGTAGCATGATTTGCTGGCCGATGTTCTTCTGTCGATCACGTTCTTTCAGGTATTCAACGAGCAGTTCGGCTTGGTGGTGAAACACTAGGTATACATTCCGATGGACTCCAAGGAGGAGTTTTCTGAAATCGTCGCATTCCGGAAGTGGTCTATCCTTCGCACAGAAATAAGGAGGGAACTTAGCGCCTTTGAAGAAGCAATTCATGAAATTGAACGCTAATCGTTCCTTCGAGCGATCCTCGGGATCTAGTTCCTCGATCGCTTCCACCCAACAGGGTCCTCGAGTGGCCAGCTCTGACTTCATGTCTTCGAACAGATCGTCCGCTCCGGATTCATCGTTGCCATCGGTCGCGAAGGCGACGCGAGCGATGAGCAGAACATATAGCGTTGGGCACGAGCACATCACATCGTTTTCCAACGGATTTCATTCCAACCGAACCAAGATGCCTTTTTCGCTCTTGTCGATACTCCGTCAGAGCCTAACCGTATCGGGAAGACAAAGATACATGTGTTAGCCGGGCGAGGCTGTTTTTCTTGTACCACGTCTCTAGAAGAACGTGTCGTCTCAGACACCTGCCCACCGAAACACACGTCCGCGACTTGAACGTCCCGGCAACCGACTTCCTTCGGCTGAACATTCCCGTCGTCTTTACTTCAAGAGAGTGTTCCCATGAACCACGTTGAGCGCGACACTCATCCTTATCACCATGGAATAAACTCCTTAATAAAGCTTATCATCGCGTAACTTCCCGGAGCAGCTTGCGTGCAAAAAAACTCCTGGGCCGCTCAGGAGGAGGGGAGGACGCGAGGGATGAGGTTGTCGGGGAATGAGATTTCCCCGGGAGGTTGAAGTGACTCCAGTCGTTGGGAACAGGCGGTGGTACCAGCGTAACCTGAACGCGAACCGAACTCTATTGAGTTCCGCCCGCTTCCGGACTCTTGCGACGGAACTCATCGGTTGGGTCAGATCAAGCGAAGGGAAGATAGACTAATGACGTCCTCAGCCGGTTTCTCCGGGGAGCGATGCACCTGGGAAAGAGGTATTATTCGATTGAATTCGATACGAGGAATCTCTCGACAACGCTCCGCTGACGATAAATGACTTGGAGCACTCGTGATTCGGACAGGTGCCGGTGGCTATCATCCCTCCCAAACTCGGGAACTCCCCCATTATTTTTGACAAACTGTTGTCGACGTCTCTCCATTCAGCGAACCTTTGTAGTCTCCCTCGAGACGGAAAGAGCGGGGAGAGGGTGTCAGTCACAAACCCGGAGATGTTCTGCTCGAACTGGCATGCGGTTGCAAGCTACCAGCTGATCAGGGGAATGCTCTTCTCTCAGTCGCCGACGAGTGCAATCATGAGAGGAGGCTGTCATTGACGCGAACCTAATACTTCCACTCAGAATGTCTACCCAGAGTCTAGAGTCAGGTAGTTCGACAGACAGACAGCGAATTCGTCTATCACGAGAGCTTTCGGATCACAGCGGTCGACACGTAAAAAATCCAATCTCTCGAGATTTTTTGACATCGCATCCGTCAGAGCGGGAGTCGATAACCAGTGGGAGTCGCTCTACTCCGAGTTTCTCTTCTGAGCGACCGCGGCTGCGACTCGGATTGGAGGCCTCCGTTCCAGCGTGGGCCCCGGAATGGAAAATACGTGTCCTTATTCATATGTGTCCGGAGCATCGGTTTCATAATAAATAATAACACCAGATCATTAATGCAGAGCAAGATGACGAAAGATATGATGCTCAGAGGTCAGATGCCGTCTTCGACGTGGGAGTGCATGCGAATAGCCATGAAGGATATTACATACGACAGGTCGCTGCGGGCATCAGATATTCTCCTCGTGGCGAGCTTATCTCATTTTGGAGATTGCATCGATACCACTGCTCTCACACGCGCCCCTGAGGAGACGAACGGGAAAACAGGCTGAATATGTATCAGAGAGGACGGCGCTCGTCGAGAGCAACGAAAGAAAAACCAAACTCTGATTGAGATTACGTCGTTTGGAAGCGCATCAAAAGTTTCTTTTCTGCAGAGTGGCCGAGATTGTCGTCGCCGAAGGCCGTGTCTGCCCACCATAACGCGGAACACGATCTTTTCCCTTCCCTGTCCTCAATGGTCGGGATCAGTGGCGATCGACCCGGACTCTGCCCGGAGGTGCCAGGCCAGAGCGTCGACTCTCTCTCCGATATACGATGGCTGTGGGAAAAAATATTTCCCGTTCTGCATTGCAAATGTTCTTTCCGATCCCGAGCCGCTAGGGCAAGTTTTGACTCGTCGTTTTATCGGCAGCTGATGTCGATTACAGGCTCGGAGATAAGCTGGTATCCGGTCCGGGATCGAACTTTTCCAGTACTTCCGAGCACAATATCCCGCTCGTCTAAAGCTGGCTGACCTCATGCTGCCGGCAGAGAGAGCGCGAAGTCGCTGACCGTAACCCCCGTCCTCCCGGCGTACGATAAAACGGGTAGAGAAATAGCAGCGTCACAGCTCCATCCAGCGATTTGTAGCGAACGATAAAATCCGCGTCGTCGAATTCAAGAGGCTCTATGTTTGTGTAGATACACACGTTCTCGAAGAATCTGTATGCTCCTCGCGTATAAAAAACTTGACGGCGGACACAGCCGCAGCGCAATTCCTGCAGCAGAACATGTGTGTGCTCCGTAGAGTCGTCCTTTCCCCGCGAGACTCCCGCCTCCCACGTTTCATTGAGCTGTACGACTCCGGTTGGCAACTCGTCTCTCTGCGTGTGCGAGCACTTGGCTCACTTGTCGTGTACTCGGAGGAGAAACATGAGTGGACAACCGTACATGTTTCTATGGCCGTTTCGAGGCTTTGGTACGAAAAACTGACTTTAACCTCTGTTTCGATGGAATGCCCGTGCCCCTTCACGGAACGAATACTCCAGGCGATTTCTCCTTGCCGTCGTAGTTGCCCCGTGATCCGCAAAATTTTCCCCTGCCATCGACGACGCCAATAACCCTTTGCAGAGAGAAGCAAAGCGCCTATCACGAGGAAGAAGGGCACGCTGGCAGGCTTGCGTCCCAAGCCGCGGAAAAAGGGGTCTCAAGTTCGTAACACGAGACGTGGCGCTCCGTCCATCTGTCTGCCTGTCCGTCTGCAAATGGCGGCTCCGCGTGAAGAAATGGGGAGACTTAGCGGACGAACTCGCCTCGCGGGCATCCTTTAACTGTTCCCATGAGCCTCGCGAGCGTGTTCGCAGTATATGGTCGTCATATTCCCCAGCGTCGTCCCCATTCTAAATTCTCTTCCGTTTCTTGAGTCAGAGCACGCGAGCCCTTCTCCGAGCAGAGAGCAGTCGGTGCCAGTCACGACGCACCCTCCGAGAAAATCGAACGACCCTCCACCCGCTATTTCAGCTCCCCGGAGGCGGAATTTCCGAGAAATCGTCGATTAGTGCAATGATACACCTCCTTTCGTGGAATCCTCCTGAATGGGAGAATGAATCGTCAAAATCGAAGTTCGTTCGTGAGCTCGCTTCGACGGACGGAAGAAGCGGAGGGGAATGAGTCCTTTGTTGTGGTTTTGCCACATACGCTTCCGCGAGGAAGCGGCAGCAGCTGGCTGAAGCGGCCGCCCGGTTCGCTGGTTGAGTGGATAGGTGGGTGGGCGGTTCGTCTGTCGGTCTGTCCGTGGGGGGCTGTCTGTCGGTCGAGTGGCTCAGGATACTCCGAAGGCTTCAATCGTTCCTCTTTTCACGGCGTGTCGCTACGGCTTGGGATGTCTCTTCTATCGGCAAGCAATTGAGTTAGTTAATGAAGCCATCAAAGAGTTTCCATGGGAACGACGTCCTCGGAACCGCACTCCGTAACGAGATCATTGTCGTCGTGGGTAGCTACCGCTACCGGATAGCTGGCGGAATAGCGACGAGGAAGAGACTGCAAGTAAGCAAGCTTTGCCAGTGTGTGAGATCCGATAGGGAACGGGGTCAGAGAGCTGGGGAGTGCCGCCTGAGCCGGTCAAGCGGTCAACAGAAGGCGGGTCCCCTTCACAGCAGTTGTAGGTGACTCCGAGCAAGAGGTTCAAGTCGGTCGAGTCTGCCGACGTCGATCGGTGACAACTAGCAGGTGGGAGCCAGCCGTCCGAGATCGGCTCCTGATTCTGGTCAAATCAGACAGTGATTGCATGATCAGTACAAGTGAACGTCAATACGGAGCTGTGTTGGGGAAAAATCATTGATTCGTGGGGAGTGGGTAGATTTTTTTTGGCTAGGATCCTTTGTTATTTGGAGACTCATCCGACGTCCTCCTGCCTAGATCGATGATGGAACAACGCAATCGCTTTCGCTGCGCACATCTATTGGCCTATTAAGCATCCATTGATCATCTCGATGGATATTGTGACAGAGACGTCCGAATTAGGTGGAGATAAATAGGCCGAGGCAGAAGAGGAAAAGGCTAAATTGAACTGTGAGAGAGACCTGCGAGCAGCGGGGTGGCCTAAAAAATACGGAGAATGATCAGCAAAGGGAATGGGTCGAGGGAGGCTGCTCGAGCGGAGCACAGGAGCAGTCGGAAAGTAGAATAGGACGGGAAGTGTGGAATATGGGGAGCGATTCGAAGGAGTCACACCGAGAGCCTCGGAGAGCTCCGGGGCTCGGCCACAGATTTCCGTCGTCGCTGTGGGATGAAAAGATAGAAGCCTGAATGAACGAAGTCAATGGTATATATTATACTAGATTGCCTCTATATAATATTATATTAGGTATATATTACGATATTCATACACACAGAGTGGTCCCAAAATCGGGTCCCAAGTTTTTGATTCTTCCTTTAAAACGGTGAGGCTCAGAGGAAAAAGTGCGATGGATTACCCATCGGAGAATCATACTGCCCACTACATCGGGGATGATACCTACGAGAAAAAGTTTTAAACTCGATTTTTCCCTATGGAAGAACAAGAAGCGCCCCTCTTTTCCTGATTCTCTCCCTCGAAAATGGCTGGGTTTAGAAGAAAAACGTGAAGGTGGACCTTATTTTCGATTTGACATCCGGGAATGGTGTCTTCACTTTTTTCTCCGAAACTCAGCGTTTCCGAGAGTACAGAGTATAGTAGTGAAGAATCGAGTGAGGGACCACCCGGTATATGTATCATGTGTTTTTGGACAATAATTCCGAGAGTTTGCGTAGAGAAGTTCTGATGTTCCGCGGGATTTCCGACTCGGAAAGTGTAAAATCGAGGATCCGGCTTATCCATCCCGCGCATCGGCTCGTAATACCTGTTCCAGCAATAAGACTGCATACAAAAACAGTAGACTCATATGTATGCGTCACCTGCTCTGTCGGTGCAGTCAGCGGCCGACGCTCCTTATTCTCCGGGGCATGATTGTGTATCTCTTATGGGTTGGTGGAAGTCTTTTGAGTCGACCGTGAAAGC